AGGGACGAGCGCGGGGCCGATCGGGGCCGGAAGGGACGAGCGCGGGGCCAACGCGGGCCTCTAGGGGGAAGCGCGGGGCCGATTCGGGGCCGTTAAGGACGAGCGCGGGGCCGACGCGGGCCTCTAGGGGTAAGCGCGGGGCCGATTCGGGGCCTCTAAAAGCGAGCGCGGGGCCGACTGAGGCCTCTAGGTGCGAGAGCGTGGGGCCGACGGGGCCTCTAGGGGCGTGAAAGCCGAGGCGCCCTAGGGCGCAGGTAGGTAGGTAGGTAGTGGTGGGCCCTAAAAAAAATCGGTCCTAGGAAGGACCTACTCTATACCATGTTGAACAAGAATGAATGAACTAACAGTGAAATGAGTACAAGTATGAAAAACTAGGAATGTGTACCCCCTATAGGCTAACCCACTGTAGCCTAAACAACTACAACAACATATATAATGTTTGACACGCGGTACGTGGCTCGTGGCTTCAGTCAGCGGCAGGGAGTTGACTACTTTCAGACCTTCTCTCCCACCCCGAAGATGACCACTCTTCGGGTGCTGCTACACATAGCCGCTCAGTGTGACTACGAGCTTCACTCCCTTGACTTCAGCACTGCTTTCCTGCAGGGTAGCCTGCACGAGGAGATCTGGCTGCGCCGTCCACCTGGCTTCACTGGGACTTTCCCTCCTGGCACCCAGTGGAGCCTCCGACGGCCAGTCTACAGTCTCCGCCAGGCACCGCGCGAGTGGCACGACACACTAAGGACTACGCTTGCGGCTCTTGGGTTTGCTCCCTCTACCGTTGACCCGTCGCTGTTTCTACGCACCGACACGTCTTTGCCGCCGTTCTACATCCTCGTGTACGTCGACGACTTGGTCTTTGCCACTGCTGACACTGCTGGACTCTCCCACGTGAAGTCCGAGCTACAGAAGTGACACACGTGCACAGACCTGGGTGAACTGCGCAGCTACCTTGGCTTGCAGATCACCCGGGACAGAGCACGCCGCACCATTACCCTGACTCAGTCACACATGGTGCAGCAGGTCCTTCAGCGCTTCGGCTTCACGTACTCCTCGCCTTAGGCCACTCCTCTGCCTACTCGCCACTCGCTCTCAGCTCTGCCTTCGGATGAGTCCGTAGAGTCGAGTGGCCCGTACCCAGAGCTTGTTGGCTGCCTCATGTACCTGATGACCTGCACACGACCTGACCTTGCATACCCTCTTAGCATTCTTGCACGCTATGTTGCTCCTGGGAGACACAGACCAGAGCACATGGCTGCAGCGAAGAGGGTGTTGCGCTACTTGTGCAGTATGTCGGGCATGGGGCTAGTGCTAGGAGGGCAGAGTCCAGTGGTCCTCACTGGGCACGCGGACGCTTCTTGGGCTGACGACCAGGCTACGCAGCGGTGGTCACAGGGCTACACCTTCAGCCTTGGTTCCGGCTCTGTTTCGTGGCGGGCTACTCGCTCGTCTTCTGTTCTCGACTCCAGTTGTGAGGCCGAGATCTACGCCGGGGCCATGGCTGCACAGGAGCTTCGCTGGCTCACCTACCTGTTGACCGACCTTGGAGAGCCGCCTCGTTCTCCTCCAGTCCTGTACGTAGACAACAAGGCCATGCTGGCCTTATGTCGAGAGCAAAGACTGGAGCAAAGAACAAAGCACATTGCGCTTCGCTACTTCCTTGCTCGTGAGCTACAGCAGCGTGGTCAGTTGCGGCTTGCGTACGTGGCCTCTGAGGCCAACTCTGCTGATGTTTTCACCAAGGCACTTGCGCCTTGTGATCATCAGCGCTTCTGTACTCAGCTTGGTCTTGTGCCTGTCTTGCCTCACTTGCTCACTTCTTGACCTTGCTTGTACTGTCACATATATATACACCTGCTCTTGTTTGCTTAGCCTCTTATATATATTTATATATATATGTGCTCCTGCATGTGAACTGGCCTTCTGGCCTTGAACTTGTGCTCGGAATGTGTGGTGACTTTGTGATCCACCCTGAGCTTTGCTTTGCTTTGTTTGACTGGTCTTGTGACCCCTTGTTCTCCCCCACTTTGCCTATGGGGGTGTGTCAAATTATAATGTTGTCTACGCTTTAGTGGGGTAGCCCATATGGGGTACACATTTCTAGGGTTGCATATTTGTATCACTTTCATTCTTGTTCTAATTTCCTCACTGACAGCTCGCCTTCGACCCGCCCACGACAACTGCATTTAATATCAACCACGTCAGGTGCTGCCAGCTGCAACTGCTGAAGACACCACCGAAGATTCTGGATACGTCACGACAAGAATTTACAGTTCGAGGTCTTTGATTAATTCGACACGGTTTCTGGGCTACATCTATGGGTTCGCCCTCTAAGAAATTTTGGGCATGTAATTCCTCGTTTCGTCATCGACCTTTCACACCGACGTGTTTTCACCTGGGTTTCTACCCTCAACGGCTTTCTCAGTGGGACTTAACACCTGGTTTTGTTGGATTTAACTTCGGTTTTCTGGTGTGCTTTCTTGGAGGGGGGGAGAAAGTCATTTGCACTGTTCTTTCCTTTGCGTTATTCTCGGTCTTTTTTACTTCGTCAGGTTGCATCAGCACGACGGACGATCGCGATCACACCGACACGAGCTACGGTCCCTGTACATTTGCGTTTGAATTCGCGTCAGCAGGTTCCCCCCCTTTTCGCGTCAGTCCTCGACCGTCAGATCCACATCTGCTCGATCTACAGCCCACATTCCAACTTTCAGTTCATTTAGGCCAGTTCATCATCGACCGTCAGATCGAAATCGGACTTCATCAACGGCCGACATTCCAACCTTTCTTCAAATTTGTTGAAGACATTTGCAGCCGTCGGATTTTGCTCAAAGAGAGATCAACGGGGTCCTTGCTACCGAAGGCTTCGTCTGCATACAGGGAGGGCTTATTTGAAAGGTGGGAGAGTTGAAGGAATTACAATTCCTTACAGTACTCGCACTTTAGCGAGTACATCCCGAAGGCCACGCGACGAACCTCTCGGCCTAATTCGTCGCACCGAACCAATCCCGACTCGGCTCCGCACCTATGGCAACCATCACTGAGCCATCCTCGCCCGACCTCCCCGCCCAGCTAGCATTTCCTCTATTTAGGTCTCGTCACTTTCCTTGTATTGTCATTTAGTTGTCAACCATTCTCCTTATTCGTTTTACTGCGCACTCTGTAAGTTCATTCATAACACAAGATTAGAACAAGGCAACGCGTTGAAATGAGTGGGGACGATGAGCAAGATACGCCTTTCAAGCGACAAGGTTGGGTATTGGGTGAGTTGTGGGTGGGTTAGAGTAGTTTCGCAGTGGTGATCGTGATTGAAAGCACATTATGAAGTGGTCGGTGCAGGTGTTTGAACGTGTGGTTGCACCTTTGGCAGTGACGCGATTGATTCCTGGTGAACGTGGTTATTTCAGCACAGCTGGCAGGTGCCACGTCTTTCACACGTTGTTCTTGGATTAGTCTGAGTTAGTGACGCTGAGGATTCGACTTGCCGCAAGTTCGTAACGACACCCAGTTCAATTCGCTATGGACGAAATCTGCGAGATCGTTACTTGCGATATGACATCACAAAAAACCCAAGTCAGGGTTGGAAGGTCCGAGGTGGCACTCAAGGAAATTTGCCGTGCTCGGTTTTCCGGCTGATTTCCAACCCTCAAGCATATCGCTTTTCCGACGGAAATCCACTCGCCAGGTTTTGTTTTGCGCGAGGTTGAGAGGCAAAACCGAGTCGCGCGAAGTTCTTCACGGGCTGTCCTGATTTCCAGCGGATTTCCATCGGAAAAACAGGGAGGGTTTGGGGATGGAACAGTGATATATTTAGAATGCGTACAGTCTTCGCATCACACTTGACGCAATCAGATATTTCTATTCTTTTGATTCTTACTTTTAAAAGTTGTTTCTATTCAATAGGTTATCATCAAATAAATTAATGCAGCAAGCAATTTACATGCTTTTTAGGTTGTACAACGGTTTTTAAGGAGGACCTATGGTTCCATATCGTTGCAAATATGAAGGTTTTAGTTTTTTTTTTTTTTACGTGCCATGTTTTAGCGAAAGGACAAAAGAAGCAACATCATGCTTGTCAATAGTATACATAGCTACATTATATATTTATTCATATAAAATACATCACCATCATCCCCATCAAAGGACTTCACTACATGAACATGGCCTAGAATAGAACCGATAGGGATAACGGTGAATGCGCGAGGGGTGTACAGACCCAAGCGCACACATCCAATCCTTGGGTCATTGCCCAATTTCCTGTAGTAATCCACGTATGCAAGTTCATGGAGCTGCCCACCTTAGAAACAATGAAACAACAACAACAGCTTTGCATAGGCCACTGTCCCCCCCTCACAGCAAACAGCGATGTCTGAAAACCAGGGCCTCTTGTGGCACTCGGGAGTTGCTCTCACAAAATGAGCAACTCTTGAGGCGTTTGATGCATTGGATGCTGGCACTGCCAATGTTGTATGTGTCTGCCACAACACCACACAGTAGACATAAGTATATGTACGTGAAAGAGTCACATGGTAAGAATAGTTGAGGGGGCATAAGATGGCGAGAGAGAGAGAGAGAGAGAGAGAGAGAGAGAGAGAGAGAGAGAGAGAGAGAGAGAGAGAGAGAGAGAGGGGGGGGAAGGGAAGGGAAGGCGCGGGGGAGAAGGGCATGAGACAGCAACGCTATCAACACCATCACTACATTCTTGAATGGTTGGCGAGGTAATGCCGTAATCTGCAAGGGCATGAGTCAGAGCTCTGTGTGCATGCAGGTGCTGCTGCGACCACTGTGGTGCAAAGAATTTGGCCGATGTCGGGTCACTTGGCGGAGAAACAGCAAGAGCTTCTGATTCTCTTGTCAACACTGGCCGCCCCGAGTCCATTGCCTATGGGTGAGTTTAGAAGGGGAGGGAAATTACCGTTCTGGAATGCGAATGGAATGAACTCAATAGGGGCAAGAAGTGTGGTTGAAGGCATGGGAGGGCAGTGATGTTGAGAAAGGCATCAGAGAGTGGAGAGGATGATGATGGCATGGGATGGCATGGAGATTGATGGAGGCGTGGAAGGGCAGAGATGGCGACGATGGCATGAGCGGGCAGGGATTTTGATGATGGCATGGGATGGCAAAGATGTTGATGATGGCATGGGATGGCAGACATGTTGATGATGGCATGGGAGGGCAGGGATGTTGATGATGGCGTGGGAGGGCAGGGATGTTGATGATGGCATGGGAGGGCAGATATGTTGATGATGGCATGGGAGGGCAGGGATGTTGATGATGGCATGGGATGGCAGATATGTTGATGATGGCATGGGAGGGCAGGGATGTTGATGATGGCATGGGAGGGCAGGGATGTTGATGATGGCATGGGAGGGCAGATACGTTGATGATGGCATGGGAGGGCAGGGTTTATGATGATGGCATGGGAGGGCAGATATGTTGATGATGGCATGGGAGGGCAGGGATGTTGATGATGGCATGGGAGGGCAGATATGTTGATGATGGCATGGGAGGGCAGGGATGTTGATGATGGCATGGGAGGGCAGGGATGTTGATGATGGCATGGGAGGGCAGATATGTTGATGATGGCATGGGAGGGCAGGGATGTTGATGATGGCATGGGAGGGCAGGGATGTTGATGATGGCATGGGAGGGCAGATATGTTGATGATGGCATGGGAGGGCAGATATGTTGATGATGGCATGGGAGGGCAGGGATGTTGATGATGGCATGGGAGGGCAGATATGTTGATGATGGCATGGGAGGGCAGGGATGTTGATGATGGCATGGGAGGGCAGATATGTTGATGATGGCATGGGAGGGCAGGGATGTTGATGATGGCATGGGAGGGCAGACATGTTGATGATGGAATGGGAGGGCAGGGATGTTGATGATGGCATGGGAGGGCAGGGATGTTGATGATGGCATGGGAGGGCAGATATGTTGATGATGGCATGGGAGGGCAGGGATGTTGATGATGGCATGGGAGGGCAGGGATGTTGATGATGGCATGGGAGGGCAGATACGTTGATGATGGCATGGGAGGGCAGGGATGTTGATGATGGCATGGGAGGGCAGATATGTTGATGATGGCATGGGAGGGCAGGGATGTTGATGATGGCATGGGAGTGCAGATATGTTGATGATGGCATGGGAGGGCAGATATGTTGATGATGGCATGGGAGGGCAGGGATGTTGATGATGGCATGGGAGGGTAGATATGTTGATGATGGCATGGGAGGGCAGATATGTCGATGATGGCATGGGAGGGCAGGGATGTTGATGATGGCATGGGAGGGCAGGGATGTTGATGATGGCATGGGAGGGCAGATATGTTGATGATGGCATGGGAGGGCAGATATGTTGATGATGGCATGGGAGGGCAGGGATGTTGATGATGGCAGTGGGATAGAAAATTCTGATTGTTCGTGGCTTTAGAGGGGAAAAGGTGGATGATGTCTTGGCAGGGGTTTACAAGATTGTTCATGGTTTGGGAGGGAAAAATCTGGTTGATGATGGCAAGGGAGGGAAAAATCAGATTGATGATGGCATGGGGTGGAAGAATCAGGTTTAGGATGGCATGAGAGGGATAAAACAGGTTGATGGTGGAATGAGAGGGCAGAGATATTGAACTCAAATCACCCCATAGCATACAGAGAGGTTTGATTCAAAACGCAGCTTAGCATGATCTAGTTACCTGCTGCATTATCGTGTACCGAACCCCTTCCTCGTCCCCAAGCGTGATGAAAGCCGCATTTTTCTCGTGATGCTTCATGATTTGTGCGTCGGCGTTGCGTTTGTTGGATCTGCGGTATATTCTCTTCAAAAGGGGACTGTGCAAATGCTCCCACATGTTTGTCGAGAATTCCGACACATGACCCGCCCTCCGAATGGCGGGAACATAATGCGAGAGGAGGTGAGTCTTGATGATGCACCATGCCGATTTTTGCGTTGGAAACGCATCTTGCAACTTTGCCACAAGACTGTTCATATACGATGTGGAGTGAATGGGGTGAATGGCACATAAGGGGTTGGTAAGTGTAGCAGTGCAGAGTGATGCAGGATGAGCATAACAAAGCTCCACACACACCTCTGCCTCTCTCACCCTACTCCCCTCTGCCCCTACCTGTTATTAGCAGGGAAAGAAGGGCATACAAGGGCTGACTTGCAAGTACGTGTGGGGAGGTGAGAAGCAGGACAGAGTGCCGCGCAGGGAGGTGCCCTTCCCGCCCTCCTCAGTTCGGCCACTCGTCCTAGTGGCAGGGAAAAAAGTGCCCTGGTAGCGGCTGTGTTCATTGAAGGGATGTAAATTAAGCCCCGAATCATGACGGGCCAAAAACAAAAGGGGGGGCAGCGTGTCTACGAGATGGATCGAAACAGCCAAGGGTGGGCACAAGGATATGCATGACTGGGTGGAAGGCGAGTGCTCACTCGTCGGTCAACTCCTGCAGACGCTGAAGGGTGCTCTTTGTGTGTCCGGGGAGCCTTGCACAATACTGATACCATTCGAGGTATGCTCGAATGGCGCTCAGCTGGAGGTCCCCGAGCTTGTCCGCAACCACAAAAATCAGCACCTGTGGACTCAGGGAAGGTAATATAAAGTCCAGGTTACATCAAACGTGAATCACGCAAACCATGAGTTGTGTAAGGGGGCGTGTGGTGTGTAGGTGTTTAAGGTCAACGTGGTAGGAGTTAAGAACGGGGCGAGGAGCATATGACTAAAAATTGTGCCCATATTAGTGACACTTGCCTGCAGGACAGACCGATGCTCAAAGGCCGCCAACTGTGCATCGGACACGAAGTACGAGGAATTTGGTAGCCGAAGATGAGTCATGCGAATGATTTCTCTCAGGTTCTTCAAACGCCTGAGCATGACAAAATGACATAGTGATGGAGGAAACACAGCACATTACCGACGACGATTCACTGCCACAACAACATGTAAAAACAATGACTGCCGTGTCATATAACCATGCATATTCGACCACATGCCATCTCACAACCACCAAATCCAACCTGTCAAAAAATGGCAGCAACTTCTCGTAGTTGAAGCGGATCGCAGCAACTATGTGATGGAGAATCCCAAGGTCCGCTTGGTGCATTATGTCGGGCATGATGACGAGGTAAGGATTTCCCCACGGTTTCCCCCAAACGTCCCATAGCCACAAGGACGACTGCAAGCAAAGGCAAAGTGTTACAACATTGATGATGGTAGGGGAGCGCATTGGAGGGGAGGGGAAGGGGACGGGTAGGCATGATAAGGCAGAGAGGGTGGTGAGCACATGAGATGGCAGAGAGGGTGGTGAGCACATGAGATGGCAGAGAGGGTGGTGAGCACATGAGATGGCAGAGAGGGTGGTGAGCACATGAGATGGCAGAGAGGGTGGTGAGCACATGACATGGCAGAGAGGGTGGTGAGCACATGAGATGGCAGAGAGGGTGGTGCGCACATGAGATGGCAGAGAGGGTGGTGAGCACATGACATGGCAGAGAGGGTGGTGAGCACATGAGATGGCAGAGAGGGTGGTGCGCACATGAGATGACAGAGAGGGTGGTGAGCACATGACATGGCAGAGAGGGTGGTGAGCACATGAGATGGCAGAGAGGGTGGTGCGCACATGAGATGACAGAGAGGGTGGTGAGCACATGACATGGCAGAGAGGGTGGTGAGCACATGACATGGCAAAGAGGGTGGTGAGCACATGAGATGGCAGAGAGGGTGGTAGCACATGGGATGGCAGAGAGGAGGTCATCATCAGTGGCATGGCAAATAGGTGGGAGCGTTCATAACATGTATTTTGTCACACTCACATCCACGTCGAACGTCGAATATTCCATCCCAATCGTTTTCCGCGGCTGCACTTGTACCACATTGCACCAGTTTTCCTTGATCCATCTCTATTGCACTGGAGTGCGTGAGACGTTTGGGGCTAACACGGCACACAAGTGATCCTGCACAAACGAGAGGTAGCACTATTAACTGCAAAACCAAGCCAATACTAATATAAGCAACTTCGATGTCATTGGGTCATAGTTTGTCTGATGGAAAATCACCTAAACGACAAGCCACACACCTTGTGAGCATAGCATATGCTACACGGCCAATTGGTAGCACCAGATAGCGTGCACGTAATTTTGCAGCTTTCGGGAAAATTACACACCCACGCGTACAGCATGGGTATCACATGGTGCTCAACGCCATTTGGGTCCTTCATCATGAAGCCACTGCATTCAACAGGACCAAAAGCAGCTATGAGAATGAGTGCATGGGAGTGTTTCAAGCGTGGTGAGTGCGATGGAATGGAGCGTGGAATTTCCAAACGAGCACAACGACATCGTGGGCATGAGGTGCATTGAAGGACAACGGGAATTAGTCACGTGCAAATGAAGGGAGGCAATCGGGGTTCGATCTGCAAACCACACCTTTTCAAGCCCTCAAGGATGGGTTGTAGCATGAGCTCAACAGCTTTGTGAAACAACTCTGTGCTTTGTGCGGAGCTCATGCCAGCCGGTGGTATGGGGAGATTCCCCAGGAGCACATGGCCAGAAGTTGCCCAGCGCTTGCCTTGCGAGATGTTGACGATGCTCATCATCACCGGATGTGCCTTCTTCTTGCCGTTGCTGCTAAGGTCTGTGACGCCACTTTACAAGATTATCCCAGCAATAACCACATCGGGTCCAAGCTCCGCCTGACGATGAAGGTAAACAGAACCACAAATAGGGATGCGAGAATAATCGTGTAGCACAAAGTAGCAGGATGGTAAGTATCCAGCACCTCCTCTCCTCTGTCCGCCCACCTCTGTCCCTCTCCTGGCCGATGGTGTGAGAGACAAGCATAGGGAGGGTAGAGGGGGATGGGGGATTAAGGGCAGGGGTGGAGCAAGGAGGAGCATAGCGGTGAATCTCTCACCCCTCCTCTCCTCTGTCCGCCCACCTCTGTCCCTCTCCTGGCCGATGGTTTGAGAAACAAGCATACTGAGGGTAGAGGGGGGTGGGGGATTAAGGGCATAGGTGGAGCAAGGAGGAGCATAGCGGTGAATCTCTCACCCCCCCTCTCCTCTGTCCGCCCACCTCTGTCCCTCTCCTGGCCGATGGTTTGAGAAACAAGCATACGGAGGGTAGAGGGGGGTGGGGGATTAAGGGCAGAGGTGGAGCAAGGAGGAGCATAGCGGTGAATCTCTCACCCCCCCTCTCCTCTGTCCGCCCACCTCTGTCCCTCTCCTGGCCGATGGTGTGAGAGACAAGCATAGGGAGGGTAGAGGGGGATGGGGGATTAAGGGCGGGGGTGGAGCAAGGAGGAGCATGGCGGTGAATCTCTCACCCCTCCTCTCCTCTGTCCGCCCACCTCTGTCCCTCTCCTGGCCGATGGTTTGAGAAACAAGCATAGGGAGGGTAGAGGGGGGTGGGGGATTAAGGGCAGGGGTGGAGCAAGGAGGAGCATAGCGGTGAATCTCTCACCCCTCCTCTCCTCTGTCCGCCCACCTCTGTCCCTCTCCTGGCCGATGGTTTGAGAAACAAGCATACGGAGGGTAGAGGGAGGTGGGGGATTAAGGGCAGAGGTGGAGCAAGGAGGAGCATAGCGGTGAATCTCTTACCCCCCCTCTCCTCTGTCCGCCCACCTCTGTCCCTCTCCTGGCCGATGGTGTGAGAGACAAGCATAGGGAGGGTAGAGGGGGATGGGGGATTAAGGGCGGGGGTGGAGCAAGGAGGAGCATGGCGGTGAATCTCGCACCCCTCCTCTCCTCTGTCCGCCCACCTCTGTCCCTCGCCTGGCCGATATTGTGAGAGACAAGCATAGGGAGGGTAGAGGGGGGTGGGGGATTAAGGGCGGGGGTGGAGCAAGGAGGAGCATGGCGGTGAATCTCTCACCCCTCCTCTCCTCTGTCCGCCCACCTCTGTCCCTCTCCTGGCCGATGGTTTGAGAAACAAGCATACGGAGGGTAGAGGGGGGTGGGGGATTAAGGGCGCGGGTGGAGCAAGGAGGAGCATGGCGGTGAATCTCTCACCCCTCCTCTCCTCTGTCCGCCCACCTCTGTCCCTCTCCTGGCCGATGGTTTGAGAAACAAGCATAGGGAGGGTAGAGGGGGGTGGGGGATTAAGGGCAGGGGTGGAGCAAGGAGGAGCATAGCGGTGAATCTGTCACCCCTCCTCTCCTCTGTCCGCCCACCTCTGTCCCTCTCCTGGCTGATGGTATGAGAGACAAGCATAGTGATGGTAGAGGGGGATGGGGGAATAAGGGCAGGGGTGGAGGGATAACTTGGAATGCGTGAGCTTGCGACCGAGTTATAGTCTGATGACATGGCAGGACCTCACATCCTCACGTTCACCTCACATCAATCTCTGCACCTCACATCCTCACGTTCACCTCACATCAATCTCTGCACCTCACATCCTCACGTTCACCTCACATCAATCTCTGCACCTCACATCCTCACGTTCACCTCACATCAATCTCTGCACCTCACATCCTCACGTTCACCTCACATCAATCTCTGCACCTCACATCCTCACGTTCACCTCACATCAATCTCTGCACCTCACATCCTCACGTTCACCTCACATCATTTTCTGCACCTCACATCCTCACGTTCACCTCACATCAATCTCTGCACCTCACATCCTCACGTTCACCTCACATCAATCTCTGCACCTCACATCCTCACATTCACCTCACATCAATCTTTGCACCTCACATCCTCACGTTCACCTCACATCAATCTCTGCACCTCACATCCTCACGTTCACCTCACATCAATCTCTGCACCTCACATCCTCACGTTCACCTCACATCAAACTCTTCAATCCACATCCCCACGTTCACCGCACATCAATCTCTGCACCTCACATCCTCACGTTCACCGCACATCAATCTCTGCACCTCACATCCTCACGTTCACCTCACATCAATCTCTGCACCTTACATCCTTGTCAGCACTTCAATACCTTTTCAGCACCTCGTACCCTTCAAACACCTTGCTACTTCGAACCGGATATTAGTTATCGCACAATGCCGTGCTAATATTTCCGTTGTTTCACCGCCCTTCGTGACGTAGCGTACTATCAATTGACACCCCTTAATGCATAGCTAGCTTTGCAAGTGACCAATATATTGCTCGTTAACCATGTAAACTTCTTTCAACAAGTATGGATTATAGGCAAGAATATGTTTGAAAATGTAGTCCCCACTGTGCACCAGTCTCATACAGAGCCGATTTCGCCTAGGCGATACTGCCACGCCAGACTTGGCTCACCTGGCAGCATTGTTCTGAGGGCGTATCCAGGTTCGGGTCATCAGCACTGTTCCGGGCATCCGCAATGTGCGAATGCCCCGAACTACACAAAACACCACTTTGGGTCATCTAACATCGTGCGACCCTCAAAAAGGCGCGTTTGTTGTCCCGCCAAAAAAGGCATCGCCAAATGTTGCTTCAACCAATAGGCCCTCCCGCCTTCAAGCCATGCGATCCATTTCACCCGGTTGCGCGACAAACACCCCATCACCCCACCCGTCTAAATTCCCGGCGGTAAAAAGAACATTTGGATCTGCGCGCCTCCGAAACCCATCCCAACCACACAGCCTCACCCAAGGGTTTCACAAAACGGCAGAAACAGAAATCGAGGATGAAGTAGATCTAGATCTTGACTTGAGAATAGCCTGCACACCACCCCGTTATCTCCGTGTGTGAGCCACCCCATAGAACCAGGATGCCTCCGCGACGAAGCTCACGCGGCAAGGGAAAGGAGAAGGTTAGCGATGATGAGAAAACACCTGACCCCCCGTACGTCGCATGGATGAAAGAGCAGCAAAAGCAGGGAAGCCGTCCCCATCTATCAAGCATATGGCTAAGGCCGTACGCGAAACTTCGGGCGCCAGCAGTAGCCGAAGTTCTCGGCATGACTATCCCGACACAGGCGCCGATACTGCCGTCTCTGATGACGATCTCGAGGAGATCGTCTCGGAGTCGGATAGCGATGCCGACTCAGCCGATTATAGACGCGGCAGTGAAGAGGACGAGGAAGATACTGATGGAGGCGACGACGAAAGCGGTGATGAGCGCAGCACACGACCGTCGAAGAAGGAGCATCGGGCTCCTGCGTCCCGCAACAAGCGCGTGTGGTCGGACGCCGAGTTGACGTCCCTGGCGGCCGCTCGTTGGAACACTAAAGACGACCTCAAGGCTATGCAGGGCAAGCAGGGGAGCCAGTACTGGAGGAAGCTCCGCGCCCACATGCTTGAGAAGGACAAAAATTGGGACCGCGATGAGGGACAGATGTCCAACGCCTGGAAACGCCTCGAGAAGAAGTACCTGAAAACGAAGCGGGGGGAGGGACAGAGCGGAGGGAAAGCAATAAAGAAAAAACCGTGGTGGGAATACGTCTACCACCTTAAAAAGCACTCGGCGAAGGCCAAGGCGCACGCCCTCGACGGTGGAGGCGCGGCGAACGTCAACGTCCAAGCGTACGCCCCGGTGCCCGGCTGCACCGACCGGGAAACTTCCGCGCCTCCATCGGAGGGCCGTGGGCGCTCTAACCGCCGTCAGGCGACCACACCAGGTGTGTACTCCCCACTCGTAAGAGTGAGCATGAAGTGCTTTGCTTCAGGTCCAGCTTTGTGTTTGCCGCAGATATCTCCCTTCCAGCGATTGTGGTTCAACGTTAGACGTGTGAGCATGACCTGGAGGTAGATGTATCAAATATCCATAAAGTTAACGAAGAAACAAAAACCGTTTCCGCCTTATTGACATCCACCCCCCCTACACCCTCCACTACAGATGCCGGGGTGACTCCACCCCCTAAACGACGGCAGATTGAGGAGACTGCCACCATGGCGGCCGCAAAGATGGTGAGCGAGGCCATCAACTCCACCAATGCGACGGTGGTGCGACAGCTGCAAGACTCCACCCAGCTCCTTGTCGCCGCCGACGTCCGCACACGGTGACGCCTGAGGTGAGCGCGATGGATGTGTTTGCCGAAGTGATGCCTGCGCGCGCGCAGATCGGCCAGCGAAGGGTTGTCGAGGCTCTGCCACTCGTACTTGTCCATGCCGCTTCTTGTCCACCAGCCGTTAGGGAGCTCGGCCCAGATAAAGCGGCGCGGATTGTGCGTTTTCATGCGCGGCGTGCTAACTACCTGCAACATGTTGTGCAGGATGATGATGCAGGCCGTCCCAGCGCATACACGCCAGAGCTTGCTCTCGTTCCTGCGCGCGAAGAGCCGCCAGCGTCCCTTCAACGCGCCGATGGTGCGCTCGACGACCATGCGGGTAGCAGACTGCACGTAGTTGTATGTCTGCTCCCATTTCTTCATCAGGCGACGGCGTGGGGCGTGAAGGGGGGTGAGCATGTAAGGCTTCAGCGGGTATGCCGCATCTCCTACAAGCCGATAGGGGGCGATTTCCCCACTCTCTAGCCTGCCATGCAAATCAGATGTTGAGAAAACACCTTGATCATGCATTGAACCAGGATTGCCCACGTTGTAATCCCAGATGACTCCCTTTGAGTCGCATGTCACTTGAAGTTGGACACTGTAAACCTGCTTCCGGTTGTAGTAGTCACCACAGTGAGCCTCCATGCCACGTAGCTCGATGTGGGTCCCGTCAATCGCCCCAATCACGTTGGGAACTCCCTTGATAGCACGGAAGTCAAGCGCCATCTCCTCCCTCACGTCCTCCGTAGGAAACTGCACCCAGTCACGCTTGAACTTGCGGGAAAACCATACCAAGAAGGCATCGACGATACGGTGGATGAGTCCTGGCGGCAATCCAAACAAGAGGCCCAAATCGTGGAACGTCATGGCGCTGGCAAAATACTTGATGGGGATAAGACAGCACAGTGACAAGGGAACCTCATTCACTTCCACAAAACGCGACATGGGGTAGGCCATTCGCTCGGCGATGAGGTCGAGAACTTCGCGGGTAATGCGGAAGGTATCTTCAAACTCTTCGTCGAACATTGCGCGGATCTCCTCCACCCATTCCGCCACACGAGCCTCGCGACGCCGGCTACGCTTCTCCCGGCGCTCGGTTGCACGGCGGAGGCGTTCGGCATCTTCAGCCTCAGCCATGGGTAGGATGGTGGTTATCCACTCTAGAGCCGCAAGAGAGACTACACGCTGCCAGGTGTTAAGAAGCACCTCATGCCACAGGAGCAAGGCCACACAAAGTATGAGGACCTGACCTGTGAGCATGGTTTAAGGACTCCCAGGAGGCGTAAAGTGGTAGCTCATCCTATCAACGGGAGCTGGTTCACGACCGTGCATAATGCGGGGCGCGTTGGGAATCGCGCTGGTTGCAAGGCGGCTAGCTATGGTCAAGCTTGTGCTTGTAGATATGGCTGTCGGGCCGTATTTTCAACTGGCTCTGCACATTTGGCTTGTTACTGTGTTCATGGTCAAGTGGCTTTTACAGAATTGTGCTATACGCAGTGATGGTGTTGGTGAAATTGACGGGCGTGAATGATGAAGGACGTCCGTCAAAAGAGGGGGACCCAACATGGGGTCGCACTTGTGTGTGATTGGTGGGGGACACATTGGGCGTGACGGTCGCATGCAGGTTGCAGGATGACCCGAAGTTTGAGCCGCGCGCGGTTCCGGTGTTGAGTTCGGGGCATCCGTGATTTGCGGATGCCCCAAACAGTTGAATGAACAGTGCTGATGACCCGAAGTTGGATACGCCCTGAGACTGCATCGCATCCTGTGAACAGTTCACGTAAATTTCCAATTGCCCGCAACAGTTCAAGCATCACCGCTCTCGCCACCGTCAATTGCACGCTACTACAGACAAACACTGAACAAGTTGCATCCAATGTCGCGATTGTGAGCTGCCTGGCTTCCTTCTCGAAGCTTTTGCAGCCAGCAGAAAACTGTTCTATCGACGATTTGCAACCTCTCCCCTCTTTTATGGCAAGCTTGCTCTGCCCGCACACTGTATTTAGGTGCTAGTTCGTAAATGTAGGAACATTGGGTGTCCGTGGGAGACTGAATAGTCGTCATCGGAAAATATGCTTGGGCGTCGGTGCGAGTCCGACGATTTCGTTCCCGCCGGAAAATGTTGTTCACACCTCAACGCAAGTGGTCGTGTTTGGCTTGCTGGCATCGCCACTGTTGACATCTCCTTGAGCCAACTGGTTGGAGACCCCAAATGGCATCACTGTACAGCCAAGACGTTGGAAGACCCCAGCAACAAAGCTCGAACTACCCTAGCTGAGCAGGTCGTCCCTCTCTCCTCCAGCAAGCTAGCTTGCTGGTACCGATCCCTTCCCTCTCTTGCCAATCTGCCTAAGTTGCTCTGTACCGGCAGTCATTCTACGTCGCCTTCACCACTGTTTTACCGTGAGCTACGATTTCCCGTGTTTCATTCATGGGCGTCGGAGCTCAGGGTTAAGAAAATCCCTCGCTGACGCTAACCAACCGGCTCGTGTATTGCCTACGAGGCGTCCGTCACAATGGGTGATGGTGGCGAGTACGAGGAGGAGGGCGAGGAAGGGTACGCAGAAAGAGGCAAGGGTACGATGGGGAAGGCAACGCGTACGCGGGGGGAGGAGGCGAAGAGGGGCAAGGTGCAGGGTACATTAATCAGGAAGGAGAGGAGTTCGGACAAGAAATGGAAGGAGGGGAGGGGTTTGCGGAAGAGGAGGAAAATTGGCAAGTGGGAGGAGCGGGAGACGTTTACGCGATGGGAGCGGGTATGGGGAATGGCCCAGAAGGGGAAGAAGGGTTTGCGGAGGACGGGGTGGCGGCATTTGCAGATGCGGGTGAAGGATACGCTGGGGAAGATGGAAATGCGTACGCAGGGGACGGGGTGCTGAATCAGGCGGAATTGGGGGAAGGCTACGCGGGAGAGGGGGGGGGAGGAGTTGCGGGAGAGGAGGCGGAAGGATATGCGGGAGAGGGGGGGGATGGAGTTGCGGGAGAGGAGGGGGAAGAATATGCGGGCGATGGGGGGGATGGAGTTGCGGGAGAGGAGGGTGAAGGATATGCGGGAGAGGGAGGGGATGGAGTTGCGGGAGAGCACGGGGAAGGATATGCGGGAGAGGGAGGGGATGGAGTTGCGGGAGATGAGGGTGAAGGATATGCGGGAGAGGGAGGGGATGGAGTTGCGGGAGAGGAGGGTGAAGGATATGCGGGCGAGGGAGGGGATGGAGTTGTGGGAGAGGAAGACCAATGGGATGAAGAGAACGGCGCTGCAGGCGACGCCGGAGATGGTGGCGTACCTACCCAGCCGCACAGTCATGGAGCTGAAGACGATGACGACATCGAGCAGATCATGTACCCTGGAGCGCAAGCAATGGCCACACAACAGAGCCAGTCGTCGACAATGGATGAGGATGTTGAGGCGCAGAGAGCGTTGGAGCGGGGTAAGGGGAAAGAAATTGGCGACGCTGAATGCTCCTGCTGCCGTGGGACGTGGAAGCATGCTGCAGAACGCCAAACGTGCTGCGAGGAAACATGGTCGTGAAGAAGAAATACCAGAGCAACCCCGGCAAGCGCGTGGAGGGGGACGAGGCAGAGGGCGAGGTGGGGGCCACGGAGATGAGCGCGGAGGTGAGCGCGTGAAAGGACGTGGCGGTGGTCGGGGCGGATGGCGAGACGGTGGGCAGGGCGAAGGCTTTCGCGATGGGATAGGCGAAGGGATAGGCGATGGGATAGGCGATGGGATAGGCGACGGGAGGGGAGGAGGACGGGGGAGAGGGAGAGGCCGAGGGAGAGGCGGAGTGAGAGGAGGAGGGAGGGCCGGAGGTCGGGGAGGTCGTGGCGATGGGACGGGTGGAGGACGCGTCGAAGGGAGAGGGGGAGGGCGAGGCGGCAATCGGGGTGGCGGACAAGGAGCTGGTGGTGGCAGAGGCGGAGCTGCTGGCACGGGACGAGGGAGAGGAAGGGGAGCAGCAGGTAGGTTAAGGTTGGCCTGAGTAGCCATCCCCATGCTGCTTGTTATGGTAAAAGAGACCCTGCAAGGCACGGCAGCGCCGAACCTATTCCTTTCCCCCCATCTCCGTCCCGCCCCTGCCTTACTCTCTGCCTGGCAGAGCCCCACACGAGCTCTCACATTCTCAGCTCTCCCCATCCCCTTTCTCCCTGCGCGTATAGCAAAATGACCCGTTTCCCGTGTTGCATACGTTCGTGGCAGTTAACATCGTGAATAAGGGCGTTGGCCCTCCCATGGAAATATGCCATGTTCAACTGGGGCCTTCTGCACCTGGACAGCAGTTTCTGGGTATTTTCCAGCAACTGCACATCTCACGTGTTCCGGCAGTGGTCTCAGCACATCAGCCGGTGCTGGGAACGGGAGGACCTCGGCCAGTAGCTGCAGCAGCCCCACACTCCAATCGTTCAGGGACTGCTGCGGGTCCACCACGAATCAACCTGTCAGGAGGGCGAGTCGGCAGTGCCTTCGCGTCTCAAGGCACAGGCAATGCCCACCCGGCCACTTCAGCCCCTGCACCTGCACGTCCTGGAATGAGCAACGGCGGGGGAGGTAGGGCAACGATGTCAGGCTTACCACGGGCTCACATGCTCAGTGCAGGTGCTGCAAGCCGAGGCGGTGTTGCGTCGTACAGACTGGGATTAGGAGGAGCAGGGCAACCTGCACCATCTACTTCGGCAGGACATGGAAGCCGTATGATCCCAGGTCTGGCCTCCGGAGTCTCACCCAACTCCCCGGTCTCAGTCGGGCATGGACGGGGCAGCCCAAGGGTTAACAGTGCAGGGGGCAGCACTGGGCAGCCCAATCATACGCAGAGAGGATGGGCTCCCACCACATCAGCTGGTGGTGGTCGTGTAGGGGCACACCCTGGAGGGTCCAACATGGGTGGTGGATCCCAACCCAATGCCAGCGAGGGTGGTATGAATGGTGTGGCACGGGGTGTAGCACCTCTGCCATCAAATGGCAGTCAGGGTCGCGCACCAACGGCTGGCCGATCTTCTGGTTCTCGCGGACCCAATGCAGCAGCATCAACTGGTTCACAGAGGCCGGTTGCTGTGCCAAGGCCAGGAATCGGTGCCGGGAAGCCCAGGCCGCGTGCTGTCGCGTCTATCTCTGAAAAAGTTGCACAAAATACATATGCAACAATGGCTGATCTGCAAGCACTGCGGGATGAGCTGCTAGGGCAGCTCTGCAGGCGGTGTGCCGGATGTGACAAGCATGATGCCAACGGGGAGGGTGGCGGAACTCAGGATGGTGGGTCTAAATCGGTGAAGGAGCCGGTGCGTGTAAAGTCCCCGGAGGAAATTGCCCGCGACTTCATCAACGCGGAAACCGGGGGCTGGCAGGTGAGTCATGCGGAATGCGCCTGTTTTCTAAATTAAGTGTACTCATAACTCTAACTTTGCGGTTCTTTTGTTTGTCGTGGACGTTGTGAGTACAAACCTCCTTATAACGTTTACATACTCGCGCATCACCTTGCTTCCATGGCAGAAATTTTGCAGCAAGCTGACGACGTGTTTCTTCTGGACAAACCGCGCTGACGGCATCCAGTTTTACCCCAACGACAACGAAACCCTGATTGGATTAAAAAAGATGATGTCACCGGCAACAGCTCCACACCTATCGATTTTGTGGACTTTCCGATGCAAGCAAACCCTGAAAACGGTCTCCGTCACTTACACGAACACTCGATGCCTCATCGCCAAAAGGCTTCGCAAGAAGGTGCTAGGAGCACTGGGCATCAAGAGAAGAAACGACCACGAGGGTGTCGAGGACCCTGACGACGCCGAGCTGTTGATTGGCCATGGGAACGGTGAGTAATCAGCCATGTATAGGATCTTGGTGTTTCCCCCCATCTCCGTCTCGCCCCTGCCTTACTCTCTGCCTGGCAGAGCCACTGCAGGGCACGGCAGCGCCTGACCTGCTCCTTTTCCCACATCTCCGTTATCCCCCTGCCTTACTCTCTGTCTGGCAGAGCCACTGCAAGGCACGGAATATTCTAACCTGCTCCTTTCCCCCCATCTCCGTCTCGCCCCTTCCTTTACTCTCTGCCTGGCAGAGCCAATGCAAGGCACGGCAGCGCCTAACCTGCTCCTTTCCCCCCATCTCTGTCTCGCCCCTTCCTTTACTCTCTGCCTGGAAGAGCCACTGCAAGGCACGGCAGCGCCTAAAATGCTCCTTTCCCCCCATCTCCGTCCTCCCCCTGCCTTACTCTCTGCCTGGCAGAGCCAATGCAGGGCGTAGAAGGTGCCTAACCTGCTCCTTTCCCCCCATCTCCGTCTCGCCCCTTCCTTTACTCTCTGCCTGGCAGAGCCAATGCAGGGCGTAGAAGGTGCCTAACCTGCTCCTTTCCCCCCATCTCTGTCTCGCCCCTTTCTTTACTCTCTGCCTGGCAGAGCCACTGCAAGGCACGGCAGCGCCTAACCTGCTCCTTTCCCCCCATCTCCGTCTCGCCCCTGCCTTACTCTCTGCCTGGCAGAGCCACTGCAGGGCACGGCAGCGCTAACCTGATCCTTTTCCCCCATCTCCGTCTTGCCCCTGCCTTACTCACCCTTTTCTGAACTCCCTTTTACCACTTCACAGAAGAGTGGGGACCGGGCTGGCACGTAGACGACAACACGAAGTGGCCTTTTTCGAGCGAAATCTTCAGTGCGGGAATTTTCGCTGCATTCGTGAGATCGGGCATGGCACTGGGGGTATGGAAGACCCGCCAGATTGCCTTTGCATTGTTCGCTGTAAGTACAAGCCCCTTGATTCTGATTTTGATTTTTCTTGTTCCATCCTGTCCAGAATCTTATTGCCATTATCGTTCATTGCAGTTGGAATACCCGATCTTGGAGAAGACCGCCGACGGGAAGTTGAGCAGCAAACCCGACTACAACAGGCCATTGTACGAGGAGAAAGTCAAGTGGTGCCGGAAGTGGGTGGAGCATGCCATCACCAACCTTGGGGTGAGCTATGATGCAGCCATGGACGTGTTTGTGTTTGGCAACGGCATCCTCATTGATGCGAGTGACTACGCAGCTGGATTCAAGAAGACTACTATTGTTCTGCAGTAGCGCAGCATGTTTCCCGGATTTGTTGCTTTCATTGACTGAATAATTTATGTTTGTAGACACCTTTTTCTTCAGGTGAAGCAAAACAATCTATTAGTATCATTTGAAATCGTTCAGGTTTATCTATGTACTAATAATTATTGGTATGAATATTTAGGAAATAAAATTGGGTGTTGCAACGCTTACATTGTCCATGTTTTGACTGTACAGCAAATTTTTTAATCGTATTTATTGCTAGGCAATCTCGTTTCGACCGAAGCACGATGGTGGTGGAAATCCGCGGGAAATCGTGTCTGCTTTCCGTCGGAAATCATCCAGTCCCTTCGGGATGGAAAACCGATGGAAAATCCAATGACGATACCAGTGCGCCACTCGGTGGAATTCTGTCGGAACAAGTTGAGAGTGTTCCGACGGATTTCCATTGGTTGGGAAGAAAACCTAGCCAAAACCGCCTGTTTTCAGGCCCTGTTTTTTGTGATGGATATGGAAGGTACAACCTGTGAAGTCAGACAACCTTCAATAATTCTACTAACGTAGGAGGCAATGGCTCCTTATGAGATTAATAGAGGGCCTTATTCGACAAACATGGACGAGGATAGTTATACTACATCGCACATCTAACCTAGTGCACTTAGCACAACGCAACAGCAACACGTGAGTCTTACAATAGATCAAGCTTCCTATTGCCCACGCAAGGCGATGGGACCTGAGACAAGGTACAGTGGCGGCGCCAATGCGTGTATCAGTTTCCCTTGGAGAGCTTTAGGAGGGGAGAGCCTCCCCACAGCACGGTGCGGTTGGCCAGCGTGTTGAACATCGACGCCGCCGCCATGTAGAGCGCTGGGGAGATCCGGGAATGGGGACGGGGTAAGGGAGGAAGCGAGGGAGGAACTGTGAGCAAAATGTGGCGGAAATGCTGCATGGGCCTGGATGAATAACATTGGCCTGGGCGGATCACCTTGATAGTTCTACGGCGGGCGCCATCATTATCATTGAGTTTCTCGATATCGTGAGATGAGTAAGGGCCGAAGGCAGCAAAGCGCGCACGTCGACCTACATACAGGTCGAAGGTTACAAGGCGGGTGAGTGAGATGTTGGAGCGAACGACGCAAGGGACGTACCAGCGAGCGAGGTGAGGAGCAGCGCGTAGCCGGAGGCGGCGGTCCATCCGTGGCCGGGGGCGTCGTTGCGGAAGCAGCCGATGACGAGGAAGAGGAAGAAGAGCTCGAGGAGGAAGAAGGTGACGAAGGCGACCTTGGAGAGCAGCAGCGTCAGGAACGTCATGTACGTGTTGAACACCAGGAACGCCGACAGGAACCACCCCAGTGCCTTCATCGAATCGAACCCGGGAGCCGCCTGAACCAACGGAATGAAAACGAAATAATGAGAAACCGTGAAAATGCGGGGAATTCACCGACTAGATTGTTCTGGTGGCAGGTTTGGAAGGGTTGGCTTTGGCTTACGAGGCCGAGTTTGTCGAGCAGCATGAGCATGGCGACGGCCATCCAGTAGCAGCCGTAGGACGAGTAGGAGGTGGCGACGAAGACGTTGCCGCGCTTGAACTCCCACATGCCCGCCACGAACTGACCCACGCCGCCGTAAAACACGGCCAGCCCGATCCAGATCACATCGGGCGCCCAATCTGCCGTGCCAAAGGCGCACGGAAGGGACCGTGAGACGATGAAAGGAGTCGAAATCGGAAAATAGTAATACGACTATTCAAAGGCGCAATGTAGAATGCTGCTGCGCGCAAAGCTGCAAATGCCGCTTACTTGTGAGATGTACGGCGAGGACGAACGTTGTAACAAAGAACGACGAGAGTCCATGCGGGCCGACTTCGGCAACGAGCTCCTTCTCGACTGCGATGCGAACGTTGTCAACTTTTGACTCGCTGGCCATGGCTGGAGCTTGGGCTCGATCCGGTGCTGTGGATACCGACTGATATGAGAGCGCGGTTGGAGTGAGCAAGGCAGTTGTTGGCACGTGAAAGTGAGATTGTAGTTGTGTGAAGTGGAACAAACGACGAGAGGAGAAATACTTGCTCTCGGTGGGAGAGCACGAGAGACGTGGGGAAGGGAGTTGGAGGAGATTGGGGGACGGGAGGTTCGCAGTGGAAGGCGCGGAGCGGAGAAGCGCTTGAGCTGAGCAGTTGCGGAAGACCAGGCTCGAACCGCGCGCTGTCATCTCCTTCAGATTTGGAGCGCACCGCGCTTATAATGTCCAGCAGGACGATATTTTGTGCCGCATTGGACTTTGGAAAGTCGTTTAGTGACGAATCACGTGGTTCCACCTCCATCTATCACGATGAGACGCCTTGATGACTCATGAAAGGCTGACCAAAGAACCAATAAAAATGCGCCATACTTAGCCACGAGGACTTTTTCTGCCCCGAGTTTATCACGTGCTCCAAAAGTTTCGCCACGTAGGAGTAGCAAAAGAAAAGGTGCTGATTTGGAGGACAGCTCGACAAAACTCCATTTTTCACACGCGGCGCGTTTCGCTGGACGTGGCGTTTGCGCGATGACGCACGTGAGAAGCATTTTCCGCCAAACCGCTCAGCCCAGTTCCCCCCAACCCGGCCAACCTTGGCCCCGTCCATCCCCACCCCTCCCAAGCCAACACCCCAACATCCCCACCCTTCCCCCTCTCCCCCCATCCCCTCTGAACACCCTTAGCCACTTTCCCCAGTTCACGAGGCTCCCTCTGCCACTACTTATCTCCCGCTGCTCATTCGACATGCCTTCATTGTAACAATCCCTGCGACGCACACTCCACTTCTGCTTGCGATTACATCAATTCCAGCTCACCTCAACATTGCTCGGATCTCAAGCACCTAGCGTCAACAAGACTTCAAGTCTCATCGCCAGCATGGGTCTCGAGGATGGGCTTTCCGATGACGTCCGTGTGATCACAGAGAAGTCGCTACCAGCCGACGCCTCCTCCTTCGGCCTGGGAGCCTTCGCCGGCACAATGTTCATCCTCTCCTCCTACCTCGCCGGTGAGTGCTTCTCCTCCTACTACGCGCATTGCGCTGCTTTCCATTATGCTCTGGCCGTGGAATATCGACGCTTTTTATCGACGCTTGAACTATTCCCACGCGTGTGAGTGCAGGGTGGGCGCCCGACTTGACGTGGGTGACGGTGGCGCTGTTCTACGGCGGCTTGGGGCAGTTTGTGGCGGGCATGTGGCAGTACAAGCGCAACTGCGTCTTCTCCTCTACCTCATTCTCCACCTACGGCTGCTTCTGGATGTCGCTCGGCCTCTTCTACTGCTTCAAGCTCTGGAAATGGGTCAGTCCACGGGACCGGGCCACAGTGCACTGTCAGATCGCATCGCAAACCCGTCGCTTCCTACATTTCTGTTTCGTTGTAGCGCTACCTTTTTCCAACTTCCGGCTCGCCCGCGTCTCTTCTCCCCGCGTGCCCCGCGCACTGCAGGTGCCGGCGGACTTCGACGTGTCGGGCGCGGAGGCGTGGTTCCTGGTGGCGTTCTTCCTGTTCAACACGTACATGCTAGCGGCGGCGTTCACGCTGTCCGTGGTGAACGTGGTGGTGTTCGGCCTGTACGAGCTCACGCTCGTCTGCCTCATCATCGGCGACTTCCTCAAGCAACCCGTCGACGGCGGCGCCTCCTGGATCACCGCCGGCGGATACATCGGCGTCTTCACCTCCGTCTCGGGTAAGCCCGGCTACAAGAGAGGCGCGGGTCCCGCGGACTTGTGGGAATATCTTTCGCATTTCCGTCGATCAGGTCCGCCCAATGATGTGTTTCTGGATATGACGCAGTCCGGAGGTTTGAAAATCGCGGGTGGCTAACCATAACTTCCCGTGCTTTCCCATGTGCCCGTCGTGCTTGTGCAGCGTGGTACGCGTCGTTCGCGGTGCTCTTCAACGGCATGGTCGATCGCGAGATCATGTACCTCGGCAAGCCGCTCATCAACATCAAGCGGGATTAGATGGCACACATGACATTATAGATGAGATCCAGCTCGCGCGGATGCGCTCGCGAGCTTGTTTTGAGATGCTGTGTGCATCAGTGCGGCCATAGGGTCCAAAGTGTAAAGATGCAATGCGTCTGATATGCAAGTAGGCAGGTTCAAATAAGAGTTTGAAGTGACCTATGTTTACTAATGTATTGCTGGTAATTGCGTAGGCTGTAACTGAGTGCTATTGTGTATTGTGTCAAATCACCGAGGGCGTGTTCCTACAATATCTTATCAGACTTGGGTGGTTCAATGCGTTTCAGTGCGATCAAATGTGATTACGTGCGTTACAGAGTGGTGCTACATGAGCTTGACAAAGTTTTTCCTGATAAGAGGCTGTAGGAACATGCCATGAGTGCTATTGAAGCTCATCATCAAACAAGTACTTGCTTATGAGAGGAATGGAAGCAGGCAGGTTCAAATAATAGTTTGAAGATGTTAGGCCCCTTGGCTTAAATTCTCTAAAGAATAGCGGGGTCGACTGAATACGGTAGATGATGAAAACGCGGCGGAAGACTTAGGGGAAGAAAGGATTAGCGAAATAGGCGAAGAAGTAACTGAGTACGGTAATGGTTGAATGAGAATTGGTTGATATTAGGGAATACAAGCAAGGTTGATATAGCATGCAAGATCGAATGATGGAAAGTATGTCGTGGGACTAGAAAGTAGAAGCCAGAAAAGTAGAGTGCCACATGGCACAAGATCAAGGAAGATAAGGATAAGGGTGAGTAGGATCAAAGGGAACAATAAATCCCCCCGTATTGAGAAAGCTTGCTTTCTTGTCCTTATAATTTGGCATTGTTCTCATTGCAACTGGGGCATCGTTCTTATGCAGCTGGCATATTCCAACATATGCATCGTTCGTAAACACATGTTAGTACATGCAAATATTGCTAGCTATGGAGTTGTTCGTCCAAGCAGCTGTAGTCTTGTACCGGTAGTTGGTCCGGGGTGGTTGGTGAGGACGTTAATGTTAGAGACTATGGACAGAGTCTATGAAGATTAGGAGCCGAAATATCTCAAAATCGTTAAACCTAGTTTTTGGATAGAAAAGTCGAGCTAACAAGAAACGCCGTCGACAAAAATTGCACTGTCAAAACTTCACCAAACTCAGACACGATGAAGCCATAGTCTCTGGCTACAATTCCCAATTTGAATCGTACGATAAGGTGAAGTATTTCTTGAGTTATGAATTTCAGCGCACTAGGGGATAAGCTGCCATAGAATCTTAACCCAATCACAATTGTCTCACAATTTAAGACAAGAAAGTTGGAGTAGCAATTAACCAGGTGGGAGGGAAGAGGAGGACTAGAGGGAAGGTCCCTAAGGAGTCCCCAACCAAGGAAACCCCATAAGTACACCAAATCCCTTCCCTATAGGAACCCCACTTTTACTTTTGTCACTTTCCAACCCATGCCATCCACCTTGCCCAAGTTGGCCACACTTGCCAACCTGGTTTGGCTCGTCCCAACCACTTGGCAGCATCTACAGTGATGTTGACAAATTTCCCAACCCCCAAAAGTCTATACCCCTTATGGAGTCAACCCCACAACTTCCCATAGTCAACACAACCAAATATCAAAAGCATACGAACTTCCAACGTTTGTAACTTTCTTGTTCGTGCTCTGATTGAAGCGATACTTGGTTCGTCGAAAAGCTCTTGAGCAGAGGAGTCACTTCAGATATCTGTTAAAGCCAAATAACATTCATACACACTCAAAAAAACCAATCCACATCAAGCACAAATTCTTGCACACGCTCACATCACGCATGCAACGCACGAACATGTGATGGGAGGCAGACAGACGTGAATGCAAGTGATAGCATCACATAACAAACTCCCCCTCTGGCTGCCTACCATCATCCCACATGCCATAGCTCAATCATGCACCCTCAATGCACACTCATCCCAGCAAGCTTCATGCCCTTCCAATGCTCAGATTCAGCCAGTCGCTTGGTGTGAATGTCAGCCGCCTGCTGATGGGTCTTCACAATCTCCAGTCGCACCTCCTTGTCCAGGAGCCTCCTCACCCAGTGCCACTTGGGCCTGATATGCTTCGTCAGCCCATGAAGGCAAGCGTTCTTTGCAAGCTTCACAGCCGACTCGTTGTCACAGAAAATCACAGTTGGTTCCTTCTGGCACACTCTGATCTCCTCCAACAGACGCCTCAGCCACACTACCTCCTTTGCCCCATGATGCAGGGCCATGTACTCTGTCTCACACGAGGACTGCCCCACCTCGTTCTGCTTCTTGCTGCGCCAGCTTACTGCACCACCTCCAAACAAGCACACATAGCCTCCAATGCTGGTGCCATCCACCTTCACAGAGTTGAAGCTAGCGTCGGTGTAGCAGGTCAGGAGCATCTCCCCCTTGCTCAAATCACAAGCACCCCGCTGCTGCCTTTGCCTCACCGTACTGTACTCCAAACCCACAGATGCAGTGGCGCTCATATAGCGGACCAACCTCTTGGGCGCTTCCAGCTGCTCATGACTGGGGCGTGAAACCACACTGGTAAGCCTGGATGTAGCAAAGGCGATGTCAAGCCGTGTGTGGTTAGCCGCATAATTGAGTGCCCCCACCATGGAATGAAACAGCTTCCTGTCACTCTCACCCACCACCTCCTCATCAGCACAGGGCTCCACAGTGAACCCCGAGGGCAGTGGGGCGGCTGGCTTTCCTCCATCTTGCAGCCCATACATCTCAGCCAGCCCCTAACAATACTTCCTCTGGTACAACCTTAACACTCCCTTGTCAAGGTCCCTCTCCACAAGCATCCCTAGGTAATACTGAGGAAAGTAGAACGAGAATGATTGACTAAGGAATGGAAGTGATACAAATATGCAACCCTAGAAATGTGTACCCCATATGGGCTACCCCACTATAGCCTACACAATATTATAATTTGACACACCCCCATAGGCAAAGTGGGGGAGAACAAGGGGTCACAAGACCAGTCAAGCAAAGCAAAGCAAAGCTCAGGGTGGATCACAAAGTCACCACACATTCCGAGCACAAGTTCAAGGCCACAAGGCCAGTTCACATGCAGGAGCATATATATATATATAAGAGGCTAAGCAAACAAGAGCAGGTGTATATATATGTGACAGTACAAGCAAGGTCAAGAAGTGAGCAAGTGAGGCAAGACAGCCACAAGACCAGGGTAGGTGAGCCAGCGAAGCTCCTATGCAGCCATGGCCCCGGCGTTGATCTCAGCCTCACAACTGGAGCCGAGAACAGAAGACGAGCGAGTAGCCCGCCACGAAACAGAGCTGGAACCAAGACTGAAGGTGTAACCCTGTGACGACCGCTGCGT